ATTTTCAGATACATCTGGCGTTTTCTCTACGACGCTCGTAACACCACTATATATTCAAACTGTGTTTTCTTTCACACTCGATTGCCACTCATGACTGCTAACAATAAACGGAAATTCTAGTAAACATTACGTCATCGTGATCAGTCGGAACTCGAGACGTGCTGCGGACGACCGTACCGCGATGACCACGTGCACGTGGTTTCGCCCGAAGTGTTCAAACGTTTGCCGACCTCGGCTTGCCGGCCTACTAAAACTACTCAAAGCAGTGAAACTTCCCACTTGAATATTATAATGTTTATAATGAAACGGCGTTATGCAACTATAACTGCGCGGTACAGAGACTGGGTAATAATTGGACAACTGAGAAACCGATCACCGACCTCAACCGAGGTTAAAGGTGACACATTGGAGTTATCATCAGGGTAAAGAGGACTCAATAGCCACGAGCGGCTGCTTGCCGTAATTTTAAATGTGTTTATTTGTGTCTGTCCAAGTGAAGTAAATGAAATCTACACGGGAATATGTGCGCCTACAGGGATTCAAATGTATTAATTATTATCGGCTGGATAGCCGCTACTGACGTAGTATTTTTAATCTTTGGTTATTCCAGTTTGCCTGTCAAATATAGCGAGTAACATATAGATGTCTAGTTAGCCAAAAAAAACTTATTTATGGACGCCGAAATAACATACACCACAGCCTACTGGGAGACACGATTTAATCGTGTGGATATTTCACCTTTTAGTACCTAAATGTGTTATAACTTTTACTTCGTAAACCATCCACCAGTCTCTATCCGTTTCAAAGTAGAATAAGTTTTTCTCTATCGGGCATCACATTAAAATTTGTAGAATAAAATCAACACATTAAACAAATCACCGATGCCATTAAAACGTTTTGAAAGCTAAAATTGTCCACAGTTTATGTGATGACCCCAGTGTCTTATTAAACGTAAAAGGTGGAATATGTGAATATAGTGTAACACATCTGTAGGGATTTTTCAATAATCTGCTAC